GTCAAATATCCACGATATGGGGACCCATTACTTGTCCTTCGTATTTCATTACAAAGTGACTGTATCCAATAATTTCGCCAAATCTGTGTGTATGAATTACTTGTTTCTGTTATTGTTTTTTGATGAGGAATTCGCGACGCGTGTCACGCGAATACAATTCTTCTCCCAGCGATCGCATCTGCTTCTTCGTAATTACTTTCTGAGACTTCTATTTTCACTTTTTCGTTAATCCAAACTGGCCCTCTAGGAGCGTAGCGACAGATGTGTCAACACACTTTTATCAGCTGCATTTACCAAAGGCCAACTCCCACTTCATACCACAGTGGCTCATATGAATCCTCCGGCAGACATGATGTGGCAGTTGCCCTCTCGCAACAAGCGAGCTGTACACTACTTGTCTGGGGACCAGTCAATGAACGCATGGCTTATGTGCGCTTGAAGGGCTACTTCACAAAAATATCTGTGGTCGTAGTATATGCACCAACCTCCGATGCCGACCAATGCGATGAAAAGATTTTTTACTCACAGCACCAGTCTTTGGTTGAAAGGCCCCTCACGTCGATCTGCTGATTGTTTCCGGGGACTGGAATAGCCGAACCGGGCCGGGTGACCACAAACGGCCATCTTATCGGACGCTTTAGGCTTGGTTCTCGATGTCAGAATGGTGAAAGGTTGCTTAAGTTTCCTGAACAGAACTGACTGTTTGTTACGAACACGTGCTTCCAGCACCGCAACAAACACTTGCCAACCTGGTTCTCCAACGACGGCCATCTAGCCAGTCAGATTGACTACATTTTAGTCAACTGAACATTCAGTGGCTGGGTTCATGGTCGTCGGTCGCTGCGTGGTGCTGAGACTGGTAATGCCCATGGATCTGACTACGTACTTGTTCGCACACGATTGAAAGCTCACCGCTCACCTGCGTCCAAAATGCCACGCGCTAGACGCCTCGATGTCACCAAAATTTGGCAACCCAATACCGCTGAGGTTCTGAGCGGAGAAATCCAGTCCCGTTACACGACCCGAGCCGATGGAGAAGTGAGTAGCCCATGGTCCTCACTGAAAACCTCAGTCTATGGGGCAGCCGAGCAAATTATTGGATGCACCCAGCGGCGCCACATTGATTGGATCAGCGGACTGACCCTGCAGTTGTCTACTAAGACAGCCGGAGCTAGGGGCCGTAATGATGATTCTTTCTGTCTAGTTAGAAAGATGGCAGCAAAATCAGTCAGAGAGAACCGGAAGAAATAATGGGCTGAAATAGCAACCTCCATGGAGTAGGCCTCGAACATTGCTCATACTCGAAAGCTCTACCGACCTAATCGCGGGGCAAGTGGCATATTATCTTCACTGAGTGACTCAGTTCGAGATGAAAATGGCGGTTTTATTGCTGACAATGCGACGAAGATCGAACGCTGGCATGAGGAATTCGAGCACCTCCTTAACTTTTATGCGGGGCCCACCGCCCCCTGCTCTCATCTAAAAAAGAGCCTCTTCCATCTCTCAGTTATCCAGTGTCATGCGACCCGCCTCCTGAAGGCGAAAGCGCTGATGCCATGAGAAGTCTGCGCAACAATAAGGCACCTGGAGAGGACGGCATACCCGCTGAAATCTATAATTCTTGTGCCGACACTCTGGTGCCTTGACTCCATGAGGTGATTGGACAAGCATCGAGAGGCGAGGCCGATCGTGATGACTGGGACTCAGGCATCCTTGTGTCTGTCTACAAGAAGGGAGCTTAGAAAAGATGTGAGAACTGCCGCGGCATAAGCCTCATCACCATTGCTGCGAAGATCTTCGCCATTGTTCTTCTCAGAAGGTTCCAGTCTGTGCGCGACTCCAGGACGCGACCAAACCAGGCCGGATTTTTACGCTGGGTGTGGATGTGTGGATCAGATATTCATACTGAGGCGGATCCCTGAATTCCGCCATAGCTACCAACAACCAACGGGAATCTGCTTTGTTGACTTTGCCGCCGCGTTCGTCTCCGTCCATCATGACTCCCTATGGCGGATAATGGCCTTTGATGGTGTACCAGCAAAAATAATCGCCATGATCAAGGCATATTACCGTGACACCACTGCGCGGGTTCTTGTCAATAATAACCTTTCAGAACCCTTCACTATTCGATCTAGCGTTCGTAAAGGCTATGTCCTGTCACCAATTACCTCTAACTACGTCATTGACTGGGTTCTCGGGAAGACCCTACAGGGAAATTATGGTTTTAAGTTTGCACCCAGGAGCCAGTTGCCTAACCTCGACTATGCCGATGATATTGCTTTACTAGTATCAATCTTTGGCGATCTACAGTCTATGCTGTCACGGCTGAATGAGATCGCGAAATCGGTCGGTATGCCTATAAACGCTGGGAAGATCAAAGTGTTTCCATGCTGCATCCCTGCCCAAGAGAAGGTACCCCTCGACATTAGTAACTATCGATTTGAAGATGTAGACAATTTCAAATAGCTCAGAGTGAGATTGATGTTGAATGGACAGAGTAAAGATGACGTCGTTTCCGAATTGACGAAGGACGACGGGTTTTCTTCAGTCGACGCGATATTTCTATCTCTAAAAAGATCCGCGTGAACTGTGAATCTGCGCGATCTGTTCTTCTATACGGAGGCGAATGTTGGGCTATGCATGTGAAAGATGAGCAGAAGCTGGAGATCTTCGACCACTACTGATTGAGGACCATCCATCGATTGAAGTACACCGAATTTTTCTTAACTAAGACGGTTCGCACTCGCTGCGACAAAATCAAAAGGATACTCCAGGCCATGCAGTAAAGACGACAAAGGTGGTTTGGATACGTTGTTCGTCGTCAACCTCAAGACAACAGTTCTACTGTCCTCGGAATGAAACCGATACCCAATTGAAAACGTTGTAAAGGGGGTCAATTCAAATGCTGGTCCGACTAAGTCCGTCAGGAAATAGAACCTGGACCTTCGGTATTCGGTCTCCAGCGCTGGAAAAGAGACTGCGTGGAGCTTCCCAGATCCGCTACCGCCAATCGTCATGCATAGAGATGTACCGTCCGTGATATCATTGTGGCTGGCTAGATCAGGCATGACCACAGCCATAAAACGTAAAAGAATATACGTTAACTGACAGCCGCAGATATCACAAGTGAGGGTTCTGAAGGCAACGGCCGTGTATATGGCATTTGGAAAACGTCATAGACTCAAGGTTGGCCAGTCAGAACAAATGCGCTCTGTACGTGCGTACGTGATCTTGCACGTTTGCTGTCACGCGGGCATATTTTTTAAAAGCTGTGGGTATTCTACCCTGCAAAAATTCCTTTAAAAGCTTGCCTGTATCTGCATGAATCCCCAAAACACCTTCTACCGCAGCGCTTTGCGTAACGAAGTCTTAACATTACACGACGTTTTAGTTATGAAAACGCCATTGGCACGTTGGAAATCGTAGAAGGGCATCGACAATAAGTCGCCTTCTGACACTTCTCTAAAAGGATTGCCCGTATAAACCTGGTTTCATTCTTAAACATGTGTTGCATTAATGCATTGGCCCGATCACCGGTCGCATTTACGCTTATATTCAAGCAATTATATCTGGAAATTTTAATATATTTTACGAGTAGCAATAAAATAGTTCATTGACACATTGTGGAAAACCTGGTATGAGTGTGTCTATTGGCGGTTACGAAATGACCTGAGGATGAATAGTTTTCGTAATGCATTAAAACCCTGTTTCAAAGTAAGCCTTAAATCGCTAGCTAGTGCATACTGCAACTCTAAGTGGAACTGCAATAACCTTAAACGAAACCCTGCTTCGATCGACGTTCTAATCCACACAAAAGCGTCCACTATGTCAAAAGGGTGAACTTATCGTC